TGATACTCAGCTGGATGTGAGTCTCACAGTCACTGGCCTCTTCAACTTTCAGGTTGAAGACATGCTTGGGTCAATGTCTCCACCTAATGCTTGGGTAGATCTAAAGGCTGCATCTGTGAGCCTTAGCCTTGTACCTTATCTAGTGCTTGGCCTCACCATAGCAGGCCTGGCTCTGAGTTTCAAGGCAAATCCCAAAGTTCACTTTCCACTCTACTCCCCAGTAGCTGGGGTCATTTCTTCTGTCTACTGGAGGCTGTGGGAGGCATAGTGGATGTGGTCCATTGACCACCTGGCAAAGGAGATCCAAAGGCTCAGTCTACAGGTATTGACCTGGAAGCAGGCGCTGTGGGGCCTTGTCCAACTCTAGGTTTCACTACAGCAGACTTGATACTGAGTTTCAAGGCAAAGGGCCTGGACTTTATTCTCCCTCTCTCCTCAAAATGGGAGATGTCTCTTTCCACAGTGTGCTATTTGGAACTGTGGAACTGTTTATTTTCTGCCTTCTTATTATACTGAAACCAGGCACTGTGGACTCTCAGCTGGCTTCCTTGCCTCTTGTGAAGGTGATTTGGTATGAGAATAGTTGTTCAAATTGGTGTCTGTGGAGGGGATCATACCCTGGAGTGTGTTTCTCAGCCATCTTGCTTAGCCTCCTTAGGCTTATCTTTGCATTCCATTTTTCCACAATTATTTTGAAGTACCTTAGTATTAGAGCTAAACTGATGCTGTAGGAAATGGAAATGGTAATACCAAAAGACAACTTTAAAGTTTTTCTTTTTTTTTAAGATTTATTTATTTATTGTAATATCAGAATTACACACAGAGAGAAGGAGAGGCAGAAAGAGAGAGAGGTCTTCCATCTGCTGGTTCACTCCCCAGTTGGCTGCAATGGCCGGAGCTGTGCTGATCTGAAGCCAGGGGCCAGGAGCTTCCTCCGGGTCTCCCACGCGGGTGCAGGGGCCCAAGCACATGGGCCATCTTCCACTGCCTTCCCAGGCCACAGCAGAGAGCTGGATCAGAAGTGGAGCAGCTGGGACTCCAACTGGCACCTATATAGGATGCTGGCACAGCAGGCAGCAGCCTTACCCGCTACATACAGCGCGGGCCCCTAAAGGTTTTCTTAGAATGCAGAAAACAGTAATGGGAAACCACACCATAGGCACAGTGATTTAATAAAAGAATTATTTGTGTTTGTAAAGAATAAACATGAGCTATCACAGTAGAAACTGCTGGTTACTGTGAATTGGCTTGCTTCATAGTCCAGCTCTCCAGTAGTGTATAGACGCTCGAAAGTCAAAGCTCACTCTACCCACAATCGTTGGCAGTTATAGGTGTGACTTGAATGCCTAGAAACACAATCCAATGAGACCTAATTTAGACCTGAAAGATGTGGAGGAGACAGGGATCATGGCACATGTGTTTTTAGGGTGCTGCTATGTGGCACAGGCAATTCTGGAAGCAGTTTTCTAGCCCAGCAGCCAGCTACTTTTTCAGGACAGAGACAGAAGAATTCAGGAGTCAGCCAGTGTGGCAGTGGCTACTCTCAGGGGAGGCAGCCTCCTGCTTTGGCTGCATCAGGAGCAGTTGCTTCATTGACAGTCAATTCTTGTATGTGCCTAAGGGAATCACTCATGGAAGCTCAGTCTAGAATGGTGTTGCCCTAAAGAAATTTAATATGCCACATATGTAATTTAAAATTTTCTAGTAGCTGTCATTAAAGGAGTAAAAGGAAACAGATGACATTAATTTGAATAATGTATTTTATTTAACCTAATATCACAAAATATGAGTGTTTCCATGTGCATTCATTATGTAGTATAATAGAGATAGATCACAATTTTTTTTTATTTTGTTTATACTAAAGCATATCTCATTTGAGACTAGGCATTTTAAGAGTTTAGCCATCACATATGCCTCCTGTGTTGGACAGCACAGGTCTAGAGTCTGCTCTTTCAGTTCAGATGATTTAATAAGTAAACTATTTGCAATACATCTGTCTCTCTTTAAACTTGTGAGCTATGTTTTCTCCTGTTGAACACTGGCTGATATAGAAGTGTTAAAAAGAAAAACTTGTACAAATTAAATTTAGCAGTTTATTTTTGCAATGAATGATTCATGAATTGGACAGCACTGAGAACCAGAAAATGTTCAGAGAGCTCTATCCAGAAGTGTGAGCAGTGAATTTTATAGGCTGAACACAGATGCAAAGCAGAGAAATCACCTCACTGGCTATAGCTAAATGTCTGCCATGTCTTGATGAGTTGGTTGTCTGTGATTGGTTAAAATTTGCATAATTGTGATGATCTGTTATACTTCTAGTTAAGTTTCACATACTAAGTTAGGTTGCTGACTGTTATATAGGAACTCAAAGCACCGAGACAGCCTCAGGCTAATGGCCTCCTAATTGTTTAATTTTTTAAAAACGATTTATTTGAAAAGTGGAATGACCAGAATCAGGGGTAAGGATGGGGAGAGGGAGGGAGGCAGGGAGGGAGAGAATCTTCCATCCATTGGTTTACTCCCCAAATGGCTGCAATAACTAAATCTGGTCCAGGCTGAAGCCAGGAGCCAGGAACTCCATCTGGGTCTCCCATATCATGGGTGGCAGGGGCTTATGTACCTGGGCCATCATCCATTGCCTTCCCAGGTGCATTAGCAGGAGGACTTTAAGCAGCCCTCCGATATAGGATGGCAGTATTGCAAGCAGTGGCTTAACTCGCTGTGCCACAATGCCAGCTCCATGTTTATTTAACAGAAGCAATAACTAGATGAGAATAAACAAGAAAAGGATTCAGTAAATATCAGCAAAATTAATGAAAAGGAAACTATAGGTAGATGTGCTCAGACAAATTTTTTTGAATTGCAAAGATAAAGAACTTCAGACATAGCAAGATCCTCCCCTCCACCCCTACCCCCCAAATCTGTATAAGAACAACATATAGGTTAACTTCAGCCTTCTGCCCTGTATAGATAAATGGAAGAAGGAAATGGAAACATGGTTAGATTTTGGCATTAAAGGGTATGACTGGGAATTTTGCACTCAGGCAAATTGTTTTTCAGGTGCAACACAGCAGAAGGACAGATATGCAAGGGCTTGTGAAATACACCATGCATAGAGCTTTCTTGAAAAAGTTATTTGCTCATGTATATGTATTTCATATTAACCTTATCTTGTTTTGCTTCTAATTTTTTTTTGTCTCATAACTTCTCATTCTTTGTCCCAGCTAATTTTCCTTAATTTATCTCTTACGAGATACTAAGATAGTTTTATTAAAAAATTAAAAGTTTGTCCTTTTAATTTTCTTTTAGTAGTAATTTTATCTACTAATTGTGATAGTTATATTTTTTAAAATTTTATTTACGTTATTCAAGTTTCATGTATTTCATATATACAGATTTAGGAACATAGTGATACTTCTTACTCTACCCTCCCTCCTGCCCATGTTCCAACCTTTCTTACTCCTCCCTATCCGATTCTCACTCTTAACTTTTACGAAGACCTATTTTCAGTTTCCTTGAGTTCACTTAATGATCATAAAGTTAGCCCTCAACTAAGTAAAATATTTGGTATGAAGAAAAAAATCATGGTTCCTCAACAGAAGAGACAAGGGTTGTAAGCAATTATCAAATCTCAAAATTTCCATTTTACTCTAATACATTACAATTTAGGTGCTCCATAAGTTACTACAGATCAGGGAAAACATACTATCTGTCTTTCTGGGACTGGCTTATTTCACTAAGTGTAATGGTTTCCAGTTGCATCCACTTTGTTGCAAAAGATTTCAATTTTTTTTATTTTTTTATTTTTTATTATTTTATTTTATTTTTTTGACAGGCAGAATGGACAGTGAGAGAGAGACAGAGAGAAAGGTCTTCCTTTGCCGTTGGTTCACCCTCCAATGGCCGCCACGGCTGGCGCTCTCCAGCTGGCGCACCATGCTGATCTGATGGCAGGAGCCAGGTGCTTCTCCTGGTCTCCCATGGGGTGCAGGGCCCAAGCACTTGGGCCATCCTCCACTGCACTCCCTGGCCCCAGCAGAGAGCTGGCCTGGAAGAGGGGCAACCGGGACAGAATCCGGTGCCCCGACTGGGACTAGAACCTGGGGTGCCGGCGCCGCAAGGCAGAGGATTAGCCTAGTGAGCCACGGCATCAGCCAAATTTCAATTTTTTTAATAGCGTAGCAGTACTCCATAGTGTATATATATATATATATATTTTTTTTTTTTGACAGGCAGAGTGGACAGTGAGAGAGAGAGACAGAGAGAGAAAGGTCTTCCTTTGCCGTTGGTTCACCCTCCAGTGGCCGCCGCTGCAGCCGGCGCACCGCGCTGATCCGATGGCAGGAGCCAGGATCCAGGCGCTTTTCCTGGTCTCCCATGGGGTGCAGGGCCCAAGCACCTGGGCCATTCTCCACTGCACTCCCTGGCCATAGCAGAGAGCTGGCCTGGAAGAGGGGCAACCGGGACAGAATCCGGCGCCCCAACCGGGACTAGAACCCGGTGTGCCGGCGCCGCAAGGTGGAGGATTAGCCTATTGAGCCACGGCGCCGGCCCATAGTGTATATTTAACATAATTTTTATCCAGTCAACAGTTGATAGATATCTGGGTTGATTCCATACCTTAGCTATTGTGAATTGAGCTGCAATGAACATGGAGGTACAGATAGCTCTTTCATATGCTGATTTCTTTTGGTTTGGGGAAATTTCCAGGAGTGGAATGTCTGGATCATATGGTGGGTCTATATTCAGATTTCTGAGGTATCTCCATACTGTCTTCTGCAGTGGCTGCATCAGTTTATATTCCCACCAACAATGGATTAGGGTACCTTTTCCCCCACATCCTTGCCAGCATTTACTGTTTGTTGATTTCTGTATGAGAGCCATTCTAACCAGAGTGAGGTGAAACCTCAGTTAGCTTTCTAAATATTAGTTTTATTCTTGTCTTCTATGGGCCCTTCTTAAGTCAATGATTTTATTCATTTTTCTGTCTGTTTACCCAGCCCTGACCCAGCAGTTTTGAAATTGAGTTCACCTGGTCCATGTGGTCGCCAGGTCTTTTGCTTTTTAAAACTGAGGTAAGAATACTTCACATAAGTTCTACTCTCATAACAACTTTTTAAGTGTAAATGCATTATTGTTGACTGCAGGTCTTACATTGGCTGCTTGGTACTTTTGCTTCACAGTAATAGCGAGGTTATATAGTCACTGAGCAGATGGCTTGCCTGGAACTCAAGTGCAGAGGATAGCCTTCCAAAGCTAGTAGCACCACAAAAGCACGGTCCCAGGCACAATCTATAAAAGCTTTTCTTGAGTTGGGGAGCTCCCCATCAGTCTCTGACCTCAAGTCATGTGCCAGACCTCTTGTGGGGTGTTCCTATATCTGTCATTTCTGTTGCTAGGGCAGATGATCTGCTCTGGGGTATCCCTGCTGTTTGTTTATGGTGAGAGTTTGTTCTAATTAGTGGCAACATTCTTTCTCTTTAGCCAGTGCCTTTGCTGATATTATCAGTATTAGCCCTTCATGTTACAACTAAAGTTGTATTTCTGGCCACCCCAGATTGCTTCTGATCTGGAACAAATAGGCCTGTTGCTTCAGCTCCACTAACTGCTTTACGTTTCTGTTCCAGTTCTGGGCAGTTTGTCATTTCATTTTTGAGCATGATTGTAAGTTTAATTTTTTCTTTTGTATTTTTTAAAAAAGTTATTTATATTTATTTGCATGGTGGGGGAGGGGAGAGATCTTCCATTCACTGGTTCACTCCTCAAATACCCAGAAGAGCTAGGGCTGGGCCCGGTTGGGAACTCAATTCAGGTCTCCAAATTCAGTGACAGAGATCCAAGTACTTGAACTATTAGCTGTTGCCTTGCAGGATGTGCATTAGCAGGATGCTAGACCGGAAGCAGAGTCGAGTCTCAAACCCAGGCACTCACACCCAGACTCTGCAGGAATGTGCATGTCTCACATGGCATCTTAATTGTGGTGCCAATAAATGCCCCTATATTTTATCTATTATGCACAAGAGAAGAGTTGAGGACTTCAAAATATGTATTTAGAATGCCAGTTGGTGAGAAGTTTCTCAAAAGATGTGGTCAAGATGACCAAGACATATATCAAAATGATAAATCAAAATTGGGAGAGTTGTAATATTATCAAGTTGGTGGAGAACACCAAAATTTATTTTAAAAATATTACTAATTGACTAATTGTAAAGAGAGCTACAAAATAGAAAAGATGTTAAAAAGCAATTCTTTTAAGTAGATATATTTTAAAATAATTTTCAGGGCCTGCACTATGGCCTACTAGGTTAATTCGCTGCCTGTAGTGCTGAAATCCCACATGGGCACCAGTTCAAATTTCGGCAACTCCACTTCTGATCCAGCTCCCTGCTACTGAGCCTGGAAAAGCGGCAGAGGATAGCCCATGTGCTTGTTTTCCTGAACCCTGGGAGAGACCTAGAGGAAGCTCCTGGCTCCTGGCTTTGGCCTGGCTCAACCCTGGCCATTGCAGCCACTTTGGGAGTGAACCAGTGGATGGAAGGTCTCTCTCTCTGTCTCTGCCTTTAAAAAAAAAGTCCTTAAAAATACAGTGCTTGAGGCAGGCATTCAGACAAAAAGTGTTTTTTTTTTTTTTGTCATTCTGTTCGTTTTACTCTTTACTTAGTGTAGGGTTAAATTTGTGAGTATAAAATAAACTGAAAATAAGTCTTTGTAAAAATAGAGTGGAAATAAAAGAGGGAGGAGGAAGAAGGAATATGGGTGGGAGGGAGGTTAGGATGGGAAGTATCACCATATTTCTAAATCTGTATATATGAAATACATGAAACTTATATACCTTAAATAAATTTGTGTACCTAAAAAATAAAATAAATGAAAAAAAATTTTGCAGGGCAGAAATGAAAGACTATTGGAAAAATTATCAATCATTGTTGAAACTGGATAATTAGTACCTGGGGGTTCATTCTACTATTGTCTACTTTTATGTGCACTTAATTTCCATAATTAAAAGGTAAAAATTTAGAAGAAAATATTATGCTTGATTCTATGCTATTACATTTGGAAATGTTGCTAATGAAGTTGATAATTTTCTGAGAAACTTGTGACTAAATCTGACTTAAGAAATGGACAACATGAATAGAACAACACTCCTAGAAGAAATTATAAAGGAATTACCCCCAAAAATGGCTCCAATAGCTGACTGCTTTAATTGTGTCTCCAATAAACGTTTGAGCCTTATGGTATGTATATTATGTAGAAATAAATGAGATCAAATTAATTCTACAAAATCAGCACTTTAAAAAATCTTAAGTGAATTAATTTTTCAAAGATTATTTATTTATTTGAAAAGCAGTGTTACAGAGTGTCGCTCCCCGTCTTCGTGGAGGAACGACACAGGACCCTGCGCTGTTCTTTCGTCTGCTTGGTCCTCCCCGGGTTTGCTGCTGGTTCTTCCCGGGTTGGCTACTGTCCCTTCCACCTCCATGGAAGGGCGGTTCCCCCTGGCCACTTTCCCCACTTCCGCAGGGGAGCAGCACACCGCCGGCCAGCTCTCTCGGGGACTGCACAGGTGTTCCCCTTAGATGTTCCTGGTGCATGTTGTCTCTCTCCTCCTTTATAGTCCTCTTCCACCAATCCCAACTCTGCTACCCACACGCCGAGTACGCTGCTCTCCTCCAATCAGGAGCAGGTCCTACAGTTTATTGGTTGAACTGGAGGCAGCTGTGTAGAAGCTGTTTCCCTTCTCAGCGCCATATTGTGGGAAAGCAGATGCATAGAATAAGTCTTAATTCCAGTAACTTAGTCCAGTCCGAGTTGCTCCCCACACAGAGAGGCAGAAGCAGAGAGAGAGAGAGAAAGGTCTTTCATCTGCTGGTTCACTCTCCAAATGACTACAGTGGCTGGAGCTGTGCCAATCTGAAGCCAGCAGCCAGGAACTTCTGGTCTTCCACATGGGTTCAGGGGCCCAAGGACTTGGGCTATTTTCCACTGCTTTCCCTGGCCATAGCAGAGAGCTGTATTGGAAGCAGAGCAGCTGGGATCCGAAATAGCATCTACATGGGATACCAGCACTGCAGGCAGTGGCTTTACCCACTTTGCCATAGTGCCAGCCCCAACCTTTTTTTTTTTACTTTTTAAAAAAAGTTTTATTTGTTATATAAGTTTCATGTATTTTGTATTTACTGATTTAGGAACATACTGATATTTCCCACCCCACCCTCCTTCCCACCCATGCTCCAATCTTGTTCCTCCTCCTCCCATTCTCCCATTCTCCCACTCTTAGTTTTTACAAAGACCTACTTTCAGTTTACTTAATGATCATAAAGTTAACCCTACACTAAGTAAGAGTTCAACAAATAGTATGAAGGAAAAAAAATCATTGTTCCTCAACAGAAGAGACAAGGATTGTAAACAATTATCAAATCTCAAAGTGTCCATTTCACTCTAATTCATTACATTTTAGGTACTCTATTAATTACCTTGGATCAGAGCAAATATGATATCTGTCTTTTGGGGACTGACTTATTTCACAAAATGTAATGGTTTCTAGTTGTATCCATTTTTTTTTTTTGCAAGAGACAAGACTTCACTTTTTATAGCTTAGTAGTATTCCATAGTGTATATTTACAATAATTTTTTTATCCAGTCAATAGTTGATGGACATCTGGGTTGATTCCATATCTTAGCTATTGTGAATTGATCTGCAGAGAGCATGGGGGTACACATAACTCTTTCATATGTTGTGTTCTTTTGGTTTGGGGAAATTCCCAGGAATGGGATGGCTGGATAATATGGTAGGTCTATATTCGGCTTTCTGAAGTATCTCCATACTGTCTTCCACAGTGGCTACACCAGTTTACATTCCCACCCACAGTGGATTAGGGTACTTTTTCCCCACATCCTTGCCAACATTTGTTGTTTGTTGATTTCTGTATAACAACCATTTTAACTGGAGTGAGGTGAAACCTCATTGTGGTATTTTTATTTTATTTTATTTTATTTTATTTTATTTTATTTTTTTGACAGGCAGAGTGGACAGTGTGAGAGAGAGAGAGAGAAAGGTCTTCCTTTTACCATTGGTTCACCCTCCAATGGCCGCTGTGGCCGGCGCACCACGCTGATCGGAAGGCAGGAGCCAGGTGCTTATCCTGGTCTCCCATGTGGGTGCAGGGCCCAAGGACTTGGGCCATCCTCCACTGCACTCCTGGGCCACAGCAGAGAGCTGGACTGGAAGAGGGGCAACTGGAACAGAATCTGGCACCCCAACTGGGACTAGAACCCGGGGTGCTGGTGCCGCAGGTGGAGGATTAGCCTATTAAGCCGCGGCACTGTCCACATTGTGGTTTTGATTTGCATTTCCCTGACAGCTAGTGATCCTGACCATTTTTTCAAATGTCTGTTGGCCATTTGAATTTCCTCTCTTGAAAAATGCCTGTTCAATCCCTTGCCCATTTCTTAACTGGATTTTTTGTTTTGTTGTTGTTGAATTTCTTGAGCTCTTTATAGATTCTAGATATTAACCCTTTATCAGTTGCATAGTTTGCCTAAAATATTTTCTCCTGTTCTGTCAGTAATCTCTTCACTTTGTGGAATGTTCTTTTGCAATGCAAAAGCTTCTTAACTTGATGTAATCCCATTTGTCAATTTTTGCTTGGATTGCCTGTGCTTTTGGTTTTTTTTGTGAGAAGTCTTTGCCTGTGTCAGTGTCTTGCAGAGCTTTCCCAATGTTCTCTAAAAATTTGACGGTATCAGATTGTAGATTTAGGTCTTTGATCGATTTTGAATGGACTTTTGAATCAATACAAACTTAACACTATTATCTGGTGTAGATCAAATTTATGTACAGACATACATGAGAAATTAAGATATTAAATTCAGTTTTATTCAGTTGATGAATCTCTACCTTTTTTTAAAAGATCTATTTTTTATTTATTTGAAAGGCAGAATTAGAGAGAGAGAGAGAGAGAGAGAGAGAGAGAGGTCTTCCATCTGCTGGTTTATCCTCCAAATGTCCACAACAGCTGGGAATGGGCCAGAATAAAGCCAGGAGCCAGGAGCTTCATCCTGGTATCCCACATGGGTTTCAAAGGCACAAGTGCTTGGGTCATTTTCTACTGTCGCTCCCTTGCCCGCAAAGGAACGACACTGCTTCCAGCTGATCGGTCTTCAGTAGACTTTTATTTAAACAGGATAGAAAGAGAAACCCTTGAGCAAGGGGAGCTCCGAAAGAAAGGGGAAGCTCCCGTACCATATCACAAACAGCTTATATAGTATAGCATTATTGAAGCATGTAAGCAAGCTTAGTCCATGCTACAGTCCATGCGGCGGTGCTCCAATCGGGTGCCTGATGACGCACAGTCCATGAGCTCCTTGTCCAACCATAAAGGTGATCACGCGCCTTCATCCAATCAAGCTCCTGGTCACGTAGCAGGCGACTCGGGTGCTAACAACAAGCTTCCACCTGGTGTTTTCTCAGCCTTGGTCAGTGGGAAAAGAAGCACGGGAAGCCCCAAGGCCATAGTTGTTTTGACTCTAGGCTGGGGTTATGAAATGGTCCCGATATCACAGCTCAACAGAAACCACAAACATCCACACAGCAGTAACTAATGCCAGTGGTCAGCAAGCCAAGCCTTAGCATGTGGGCCCATGGCCAGCCATGGGTCCCCACATTCTACTTTGTCCCATACATTAGCAGAGAGCTGGTTCAGAAGTGGAGTAACTGGGATTCAAAGTGTAACCCATATGAGATGCTGGCACTGCAGGTGGCGGCTTAACCTGCTATGCCACAATGCTGGGCCTGATCAATCTCTACTTAAAAAGAATTCATCATTTCTCCTGTAAAACGCATTAACTAATGTGCACAAAAGGATAAATATTCACAGATGATTTGCTCCAGTGTATCCTGGAGTGTCTGTTTTTGTAAAAGTTTTCCAAACCAGTTTTTATTCATTTTACATATTACTGCATTTATGTATTCTAAGTGAATATTTATAGAAACTTGTGAAATGTGTGTGTGGAAAAAGAATTGTTCCTATGAAACTAAATTGAAGGTATTGGAATAACTCAATGCACTAAACAATTAGATGAGGATAAAAAAAGTAAACTTTGGGAAAAAGTCACAAAAATATAGAAGAATTTTGCCCTTATATTGCTTTATGATCAAGTTAAAATGATCTTTAAAGAACGTAAATGGGAAGGGCTAGCACTTTGGCATAGCGGGTAAAGCCACTGCCTACAGTGCCGGCATCCCATATGGGTGCTGGTTTCAGTCCCAGCTGCTCCACTTCCCATCCAGCTTTTTGCTAAGATCTGGGCAAGCCATAGAAGATGCCCAGATCCTTGGGCTCCTGCATCCATGTGAGAGACTTGGAAGAAGCTCCTGGCTCCTGGCTTTGGATTGGACCAGCTCCAGCTATTGCAGTCATTTGGGGAGTGAACCAGTGGATGGAAGACTTCTCTCTCTTTCTGACTCTCTGTACCTCTTTCTTTCTCCCTTCCTCCCTTCCTCTCTCTCTTTCTCTCTCTTTCTCTCAATATTTATTTATTTATTTGAAAGGCAGAGTTACACAAAGAGAGAAGGAGAGGCAGAGAGAGAGAGGTCTTCCATCTTCTGGCTCACTCTCCAATTGGCCTCAATGTCTGGAACTGTGCCAGTCCGAAGCCAGGAGCCAGGAGCTTCTTCTGGGTCTCCCACATGGGTACAGGGGGCCCAAGGACTTGGGTCATCTTCTACTGCTTTCCCAGGCCATAGCAGAGAGCTTGATCAGAACTTGAAACCGGCGCCCATATGGGATGCTGGCATTGCAGGTGGTGATTTTACCCACCTCGCCACAGGGCCTGCCCCACCTCTGCCTTTCAAATAAATAAATAAATAAATAAAGTTTAAAAAAGAAAGTAAATGAGAAATAGCAATACATTAGGGGTTTGATTTAAGTAAGACGACAGATGATATAGAATTCTAATATGTAAACTGATACTGAAAGACAAGACTTTTTCCTATAAATTAGTTAAAAGACTTAACTAGTTAGTTAAGGTAACACTAATTGTATTATTGAGCATGCTATATATGGACACCTTCGAAATCTCTGTCTTACCTGTGGGGAGCAACTGAGACTAGGCTAAGTTACTGGAATTAAGATCTATTCTATGCATCTGCTCTCCCACGATATAGCGCTGGGGAGGAGGAAACTTCTACGCAGCTGCCTCTCACCAGCTTGACAAACTGCGGGAGCTGATCCTGCTCCTGATTGGAGGAGAGCAGCGTGCTCAGCGTGTGGGTAGCAGAGCACGGATTGGTGGAGAGGACTATATAGGAGGAGAGAGACGGCATGGTGGTGTGGGTTGGTTGGAGAGTGTGTTGGAGAGTTCGCGGGGAAGTTCGTTGCTTCGTTCTTTCTCATTTCTCTCTACTCATTCTTGCTTTGGGAGTTCGCTGTTTGCTTATTCTTACTTTACTATAGAAAAGACTTGTAAAAAAGGGGAACAACGAGCGTCCGGTCCGGTGCGGCTCCTCCGCGTGTGGAGGAGCAGCAAATGGTGCCGTGACTTGGATAGGAAACCTAGGAGGGAAGAAGCGGGAAGAAGCGGGAAAATACCGGAGAGAGAGACTAGCAAAGAGCCTAGGGAAAGCCGGATGGAAAAGGTGCCGAAAGAAGCTATCGAAAGCCTAGGTATAGACTTGGATACGGACTGTGGGGAGAGGCCAGGAGAAATGAGAGGGGAATATTGTTGGAAGAAAAGTTAGGGAAACATACTGGGTAGAGAGAAATATGTTAGGGAGGATGAAGCTACAGGGGCCGGCTGAGGCGGAGACGTAAGCTAGCTTGGGATTCGTCAAGTCAGCCCAGGGAGCAAAAGGCGAAAAGCTAAACCAGAGGCGGAGACGCGTAAGCCAGGTTGGAATCCATCAGATTAGCCCAGGGAGCAAAAGACGGGAAGCCAAACCGGGAGCGGAGACGTAAGCTATAGGTTGCATTTCACCAGGTTAGCCCGGGGAACTTAGACTGAATACCAGTGGCGGAAACGTGAGCTAGGCTGTGTGACTCGCGGAAGCCGCCGCGCGCAGAGAGAGCGCGCGGGACACGAACGGGGAGAGTGCACGGGGCGCGAATAGATAGGGAACGTGGGGCTAGTGCGAAGGCCGTGGTGCGGGCGCAAAGGGCGCGGAGACCGCGGAGTGTGCGAAGCCAGGAAGCCACGCAGAGCCGGGAAGCCGCTGCGGGGCAAGGCGCCGAGAAGCAGCCTCGGGGCGGGCGCCAGGAAGCTGCGGGGATAAGAGAAACAGAAGTTTAGAGGTAAAATGAGAGAAATAGGAATGCTGGCAGATAGAAGTAAAATAGGAGAGATAGGAATGCCCGGAGGTAGAGAAATAGAGAAAAATAAGGCCTCCCCACAACACAGCAATGAGAGGGCTTGGATTCAGTCTGCCTGATTAGTAAGATGATAAGCACCTGTGGGCGGCTGCAGGTCACCGAAGACAGGCACGTTATCAACACCAATAAGTCTCCCCACAAGATGGCAATGAGAAGGCTTGGATTCGGTTTGCCTGATTGGTAGGGCTTGTAAGCACCTGCAGGCAGTTCTAGCAGAGTATAGCATGTGCTGCAGGGCACCGAACACAGGCACGCATCAGCACCTAAAAACCTCCTCACAACATGGTGAAGAGAGGACCCGGATTTGGTTTGCCTGATTGGTAGGGCTTGTAAGCACCTGTGGGCAACTCTAGCAAGCAGAGCAGAGTGTGCGCCGCGGGGCACCAAAGACAGGCGTGTATCAATGCCAAAAATAAAAAGAAAGGGGGATCTGTGGGGAGCAACTGGGAGCAACTCGGACTAGACTAAGTTACTGGAATTAAGACTTATTCTATGCATCTGCTCTCCCACAATATGGCTCTGAGAAGGGAGTAACAACTTCTACGCAGCTGCCTCTCGCTAACTTGAGTGATGACCTGCAGGAGCTGATCCTGCTCCTGATTGGAGGAGAGCAGCGTACTCGGCGTGTGGGTAGCAGAGTTGGGATTGGTGGAAGAGGACTATAAAGGAGGAGAGAGACAACATGCACCAGGAACATCTAAAGGGAACACCTGAGCAGCCCCCGAGAGAGCTGGACTGGAAGAGGAGCATCCGTGACAGAATCCGGCGCCCCGACTAGGGCTAGAACCCAGGGTGCTGGCGCCGCAGGTGGAGGATTAGCCTAGTGAGCCGTGGTGCTGGCCTGTGCCAGATTCTGATGAAGCACAAAGCTCTCTCACCAGATGCAGCTTCTTGATCTTGGACTTCTGTTCTCCAGAACTGTGAGTTTAACTTTCCTTTGTAAATTACTCAATCTGTGGCTTTCTGTTAAAACAAGAAGCAACTAAGACATATGGGTTGCTCGGTCAAAGGCTGACTAGAACTCAGGATCTGTCTTAACTCCCAGTTGGAGGGGCAGGGTCCAAACCGCAGCTTCTCATGTTACTTGGGGCTTCCTGTCCCTGGTGAGGTACGGTGGCAGTGGCTCCAGAGTCTCATGTGTTGAGGGACTGGCATTCTAAATAATTCCTGTGACTAGCTGGCACCACCAAAACAGACTTTTGGGCATGCTGATAAGGCTTTTCTTTCATACTTGTTTTGTGAGAAGGAAGGCATTCAGCATGCCTCTCACTGCACTGTGGGAATGACTAGGAGGTCTCGTGAAGCTGACTCTGGCCTTGAAAATTTCATTTTCCAATTAACAGTATTACTTACACATACCATGTAATGTGAATTGAAAAAGTGTTTGTTTATTTTTCACTTGCGTAAAAGGGAGAGAGAGAGAGATTGATTGATTCTCTCCACTGGTTTACTTCCCAAATATTCACAACAACCAAGGCTGGGCCAAGCTTAAGCCAGGAGCCCGGAAGCACATGTGCCTCTTCCACATAGGTGGAAGGGACTCAAATGCTTGAGCCATCATATGCTACCTCCCAGGATGCATTAGCAATTAGTTGGATAGGAACCAGAGGAGATGGGATTTAAAGCAGCTACTGGGGCAGTTGTCATAGGCAGATGTTAACCTGTTGAGAAACAGTGTCTGGCTCATTGTGTGAAATTTCACTCCTAGATAGAGACCACAAACAGAACATTGTGCACACACAGACACACAAACACATACACATAAGATTAACAAAATGATATACTCAGTGTTGATGAGGGGCAGGTGATGGACACTCTCATCTTGTCAGACTAAAACTAATAACAACCTTTTGCAGAAGTAATTTATGATGTGTTTAAAGGGTTTTCAGTGCATCATTTTTTTTAAGAAATGGGAATATACTTATTAATAAATGTCACAATACCAGGGAAATTCAACAAGAGTACTTAGAACAGAAAACATTTTGGCTGCAACATTAGGGTAAAGGAAATGCATACTATCCATTTTTTTCTTGCACTGGAGACTCTAGAACTTAAATACCTACATAGTTATTGGCAACTTAGGTGCAAAATCCAGGGAACAACAGAAAATCTGTCAGTCCCCAATAGTGATGTTAATGGAAATCTTTAAATATACTTCTTCCTTGGAGGACTGAAACTGCAGTCTAAATCTGTAACATGGTTCTGAACAATGAGGCCATCTGGTGGCCACTTAGAAAGTTTCCAATTTCTGACTCCTGGGATTGCATTTCTAGTGCTTTGCCCCTCAGGCCTTGAAAAGGAAGCTGCAGCACAGTTGTGAGGACTTTGGTATTTCCTGAAAGAAACCTTCTGGAAGGAGTCCAAGATTCAGCTGCCTACTCCACATTCCATTTTATGTGGGCTGGTCAGTGTCGCAGAGGGATTGCATGCTATGTGCTTTATCTATGTGTCTATGTCTAGCTTGTTACCTGCTCAGAGTTGGGCTCATATGTGAATTACCTCATTCTAGTGGAAAGTCTTAAAACAGATTCTGCTGGAAACATTTAACCTGGGGTGCTGTGGCCAGAAGCACGACCAGGCTGGAAGGATAGTACATAGATAGATAAATATATTTTTGGACATTTATAGTGTCAGCTTTTATTTATTTATTTATAGGTTATTTATAAATAATATGATCAGTTTCCAGAACACATATGAGGGTGTGTCAAAAAGTTAATTGAAAATGAAATTAGGGGCTGGTGCTGTGGCTCACTTGGTTAATCCTCTGCCTGCAGTGCTGGCATCCCATATGGGCGCCGGTTCTAGTCCCAATTGCTCCTCTTCCAGTCCAGCTCTCTGCTGTGGCCTGGGAGGGCAGTGGAGGATGGCCCAAGTGCATAGGCCCCTGAACCCACATGGGAGACAAGGAGGAAGCACCTGGCTCCTGGCTTTGGAACGGTGTAGTTCTGGCCATAGCGGCCATTTGGGGGGTAAACCAATGGAAGGAAGACCTTTCTCTGTCTCTCTCTCTCACTGTCTAACTCTGTCAAATAAAAAAAAAAAGAAAATGAAATTAAAAGATGAATTTATGTTTGTGCAAAAAACTTGAAATACATGTCTATGAGGGAGTCTTCAAAATGTTTATGGTGGAAAAATGAGTATTTTGAAAAAATTATGCATACCTTTCAGTTTTTTGTGCCAAAATAAATAAATTTTTTGAAGTATCTTTGTATTAACTCTTGTGGGATGAAAGATTATTAAGATTATTAAGATGTGGGGAAGACCAGTTAAGTCATGTTTTGTAAGAATTTTTCCTTGGATGAAGCTCTGGACAAAGATGAGAGTACTTGACTTCTGACATGAGTTATGATAAATTTATCTTTGGTTAGCACAGATTTTCAAATACTTGGAATATCTTTTTGATGATTTTATTTCTCCATGTTGCAAAATTACAACTCCTTCTTGACTCTTTCTTTACATTGTGAATTAACTTTATAAATGTAATCTCTTTTCAATCACTCCTAAGTGTATGAAAGATAATTTTTCTTTTCAATTCTCAGCTTCTCTTACTTTTCTGTTTATTTCCTCCTTTGAATTAAAAAATGTAAAATTTCCTTATAGATTAGAGAAAGAAAATCCACAAAGCATGTTTTGAGCAAAGTGCTTTTCTCCATTTTTCAGTCACTTAAACTTTCTTGGACTATCATTTTTGGGAAATACTGCTTGAGTAACTATGTGAATTATGAAACAAATGCAGACCTGTTCTTTGGCAACTTTGAGCTTGTGCAGGGAGATAGATCAAAGCAGCCGGAAGAAAAACAAAGACCAAAGAGAACTGGAACACATCGAGAATCTGTCTGAGAAATCTCACACAAACTTTAGAAGGTTGAACTGTAATACCCACAGCTGACGCTTATCTAGTTATTTCGTTTCTAAAGCCCTTTTATACTGTTTGCTTAAGACCACCCTAACAGAAGGACAGAGCAGGCATTGTTGTTTTATTTTTACAAAGGATTGCTAAGGAGAGACTGCTCTGCTTGAGACAATGTACCCTGTGAGTGCGAGAACTGGTTTTTGAATCTGGCTCTCTGGGCCCCCTGCTTTGCTCACCCTGGAAAGTTTTCGTGTCCACATCCCTTCAGCCGGTTCAGACTCCAGGCTGTTGATTTGCATTCCTGGTCTTCTTCCAGCCCCACACACTCCATCTGCATACTACAAATGCTTTCTTCGTGGAAGAATTCCAGGCAGGGAAATATTTTGGTACTAGTCTGAGTTAAATACCAAAACCCTGTTTGTAATTTCTGCTCAGACTGTGACACTGAGAGAATTCCAGAGTGACAAGTGTGAGTCTATTTGGTGACTCGTGGTGGGGGCAAGGAGTAAAGGGATAAAGAGGAGACAAGGGAAGTTAGAATTATCTACATCCAATAGAGCCCAGCTGTCTGGATTTAAGCTGAGCTGATACTCAGGAGGGAGAACTGAACTGAGAACTGTGGGTCAGATTTCAGTGGTTCCACCTCAAATGGGATTTTCTCATTGGTCTGGCAAAGGCTGTGCTGGATTCAAAGTGAAATTAAACTGTGCTTTATTTAACATAGAATTATTCATAGGTGTTTAAATCCAGTTCAAAATTGATCCCAGTAAAAAATAAGAGTGAGAATAAGAGGGAGGAGATACACAGTTTGGCACATTCCCACGGACTTACCCATAAGGGTAAAGCCATGGGACTCCAAATCCCATTAAGCTGGGTGGTAATAATGCCATCTTACTAGTTAAAGTGATCAGTTTAAGTGTGTAACTGATCATATAAATAGGAATAAGTGTCAAAGGGATCACATAAATATTACCAAGTGTCCACTAATAACAATAGGTAGAATTAAAAAGGAGAGAATGATCTAACATGGGAAGCAGGCCACACAGCAGACTCATAGAATGACAAATGCCCTAAATAGCCCTCTGACCTCAGAATCAGCCCTTAAGGCATTTGGATCTGGCTAAAAAGCTCATGAGAGCATTTCAGGCATGGAAAGCCAAAACACTGTGGCAAAAATGACCTACATGAAGGATCTCTGTGAGTGAGATCCCAGTGGAAAGAAGGGGCCATTGAAGAAGGTTTTCTCTGAAGGGAGGAGAGAACTTCCACTTTGCTTATGGCCCTGCCTAAATACTGACAGAGTTTGTGTATCAAAAGGCTTCCATAGTCTTGGTAGCTCATGTCAAGAGCATCGGGTGGTCACTGTTAATTGTTAACTCAACAACAGGAGTCACTGTGCACTTACTCCCCATGTAGGATCTCTGTCCTTAATGAGTTGTACTATGAGAATTAACGGTAAAACTTGTTTTCAAACAGTATTTTATATTTTGTCTGTATAGGTGCAGACTGTTGAAATCTTTACTTAGTATAGAGTTGGTCTTCTTTATATAAAGATAATTAAAAATGAATCTTGGGGCCAGTGCCGTGGCTCACTTGGTTAATCCTCCGCTTGTGGCACCAGCATCCCATATGGTCTCTGAGTTCTAGTTCTGATTGCTCCTCTTCCAGTCCAGCTCTCTGCTGTGGCCTGGGAAGGCAGTGGAGAATGGCCCAAGTGCTTGGGCCCCTGAACCCACATGGGAGACCAGGAGGAAGCACCTGGCTTCTGGCTTCAGATCGGCGTAGCTCTGGCCGTAGCGGCCATTTGGGAGTGAACCAACGGAAGGAAGACTGTTAGGAAACTGGCGTAGTTTTGTCTATGGCTCAATCTACACCCTGATTTACATCCTATGCCCCGGTTCCCGCCACCATTGCTGAAATCCAGGTAGCCACATGGCCCAAGTACCTGTGCCAAGCTCCACCCCCATCCTAATGGGATTTGCTGCTCCTGCTTCCCTGCCCGCCCTCCGGCAAAGTTTTAAAAGGACCTGTTCCTGAACAGGTGGCTCTCTTGGCTCCTCTCTTCTGCTCTCCTCTCCTCCTCTCGTCTCTCTTCTCTCTGTTCTCTCTTCTCTCCTCACTAGCTCCTCTCCTCTGTCTCTCTCTCTTATACTCTTTCTCTCTCTTATCCTTCTTCGTCCCTCCCCTCCAGTATGCTGGGTTTTCCCCAATAAACTCTTTCCCTTACTCTGGTGTTTGGTGTGCTTTGTGACGGGCTAACAAAGACCTTTCTCTCTGTCACTCTCATTGTCTGTAACTCTACCTGTCAAACACATAAATAAAAATCTTTAAAAAATGAATCTTAATAAAGAATGGGATGGGAGAGGGAGTGGGAGGTGGGATGGGAGTGGGGGTGGGAGGGCAAGTATGGGGGGAAGAACTGCTATATTCCTAAAGCTATACCTATGAAATTTATATTTATTAAAAAAAAGCTTCCTGAAAAAAAAAAAGAAATTAATCTGAGACTCTGGGAGGCTGCAAGAAAATTCCCGATGACAGTTGTCCCAATAGCAACATCTTGTCAAGAGACCCCATCCAGGAGAGGATGGGGGTGCAGTGCCATTCAGTTTTGAGTGTTTGGGGAAGTTTGTTTTAGAGCAGAGAAAGATTCAGAGTTGGTTCTATTTCTTCATTAGCTTTGGGATCTTGAGTCAAGCTCATGGTCCCTCTAAGTCTCAAGTTTTCTCTCTGTAAACAAGAGAGTAGGAATACTTGCTTCTTTTTCTTTTTTTTTTTTTTTTGTGAAAACATTTTATAAGTTTGAATTGCTTTAGCAAAACAATATGTTATGATTGTCCTGACATCCTGATCTGAGTTTTCTGCAAGAAAAGGGGATACAGAAGCATGAGAAGTAAGTGGGACACTGAGAAGAAAAAGGAGGAATAATAACACCTGGAGTGATGCTAAGAGTTGTAACAATAAATCCAGAGAAAGCATTGTTAATCCACGGCCTTTGCATGAAATGGTGCGAAGCTGATAAGGCTTGAGGTAGAGATGGGAGTCAGGGGAGGGAAGAAGAGTAGCATTAACAGAGAATCTCTGAAAGCTAAGCCTTGGTGATGCTGTTGTCCCCCAAGCTTTTGCATGAACCAACCTTATTTTGGAGAGGAGGAAACCAAGACTCAAAGACATTGAATAACCTGCTCAAGGCCACATGGCTAGTAAATGATAGAGCTAGCACTTGTCTGCCTTCCAAAGTATGTTCTCATATGCAGACAAATTAGACAACAAATAAAGTATAAATTAGATCATCCAGAAAACATGTTATTAAGGAGGTGAAGGCTGAGCAAGAAATGGGCAGTCTGGAAGCTATGGTGACTAACTCAACTCTGCCTGGGACTTTGTCTCTTTCCACACCGGACGTCCTGTGTCCCTTGAAACTCCCCAGTCCTAGGCAAGCTGTGATGGTTGGTCTCCCTATGGCTGATAGTAGTTGTATTATTTGCTACCAGGTGGGTTAGGCCCATCCTCTGGTGAACATAAGCAGAATATTAGCATCAGAAGAGGATTTTTGAAAATGTGATGTAACAAGACAAAAACAAGTCTATGATTATGCCTGAACAAAGACAGAAATATACTTGTACAGGTGCAAAATGACCAAATACCCACTCCCCTGGCTAGCAGAAGAGAGTACTGCTTCTTCAGTGAAACTTCAGCTCTGTTTTCCTCCTGCCCACCACATAAAATGAAGGTAATTATCAAGCTTCCTTACTTCTGACAGGTCCAACCCAACACAGAGACCCCACTTTCTTGAGCTCTCCCCCGATCAACTGACAGAAGAGCAAGTCATAATTAAAAGCCCTCTCTCAGAGACACTTAATGGTTCCTCATGATGTGAGGTGTCCTCCAGCAGAGAGCAATCCCAACTCTATTTGATCTCAGGTGCATTTGTGGCGGGTCTCTGATTTGAGGGCATTGATGGGGTTTCTACAAGGGCAGTGTGTACAGAGGGGCGAACATTGTGACATTGCGAATTCTCTGTTTCTTGCCTGTGAATTCTCTGTTTCTTGCCTGTCTCTACAGCTGGACTGGATGATTCTTCAAAGCAGAGTTGCTTAAGATAAACAACAACCATTTGTGGAAGATTCCACTTGCCAGGCACTCTACTAGGCCTTAATGGGAATAAGTCAGTGACCAGCTTGTCTTCATATGAGTCAGAGAAAAGTCTTGGACTAATAGTAAAACTAAAGCTTTCTCCCCTGGGGCAGATATTTTTTGAACACTTGGTGTCTATTAATTCACTTGACCTTCACCCCATGTAGTCAGTACTGTTATTACCTCATTTAACAGAAAAGGAAATGGAGGCCCAAAGAGGTATATAAAGCATTTATATAGAGCTTATAATAAATAAAATGTTTTCATCTTTCTTTTCTTCCCAGTAGTCCTGTGAGGTACTGTATTTCATGTGGATAATCTAAGATCACCATTATTTTATGTGCCACTAAGATAGACAGTGGCCAGTTATATTTATGACATTCATTAATTATACCCAGGATTTTTTAAATGTTTATTTATTTATTTATTTTTTATTTGACAGATAGAGTTAGACAGTGAGAGAGAGAGACAAAGAGAAAGGTCTTTCTTCCATTGGTTCACTCCCCAAATGGCCACTACAGCCAGAACTACGCCAATCCAAAGCCAGGAGCCAGGTGCTTCCTCCTGGTCTCCCATGCAGGTGCAGGGGCCCAAGCACTTGGGCCATCCTCCACTGCCTTCCCAGGCCACAGCAGAGAGCTGGACTGGAAGAGGAGCAACTGGGACTAGAACCCAGAGCCCGTATGGGATGCCGGCACCACAGGAGGAGGATTAACCAAGTGAGCCATGGCACCAGCCCCAAAGGTTTATTTATTTTTTATTTGAAAGGCAGAGTTACAGAGAGTCAGAGGCAGAAAGAGAGAGAGAGAGGGAGGTCTTCCATCCGCTAGTTCACTCCCCAAATGGTCATAATGGCTGGAGCTGGGCCAATACGAAGCCACAAGCCAGGAGCCAGGAACTTCCTTTGGGTCCCTGACATGAGTGCAGGGGCCCAAGGATTTGAGCCATCTTCTGCTTTCCCAGGCCAGAGCAGAGAGTTGGATCGGAAGTGGAGCAGCCAGGACTCAAACCAGTGCCCATATGAGATGCTGGCACTGCAAGTGGTGTCTTTGGCCACCGTGCCACAGTACTGGCCCCAGATTGTACTTAGTTTTAAGAAGCACTAAATTGTGAGGAAAAAAATGTGTCTTTGATTGATGAAATGGAATGGGCATTATTTATTTCCAACCTGGGGATCAGAAAGGAGCATATTTCTCAGGATCAAAAAAGTGACAAAAGAAGGATAAAACTAGGTTTACAAAATATGCTCTTTCTTCAGTGTTACTATAAATGTTGTGGGAATCTTTGATTGTTGAGCTTCAATGAGGGCTTTAGTGAGTGTCTCTGACTAGACGACATCTCTGAGACAAGACTAGGTGGGCAAGGGATTACTTTCTATGCTGCTCAGATCACATCTTGTGAGGAGTCAAGGCCCTAATCCCAGTGCAGAATGACCTTTTTTCTTCTTTGCTGGTCCCTACCAGCTCATGGAAACTTCTACTCTAATCACAATACAAAGCTCATGCCAGTCTCCTTTCCTTGTGTTTTCAAGCCCCTGGACCTACTTAAGAAGCTTGCTGCTCTGCTTTGGAATGGTTTGAGTGGGTCCTGCAAGAATTCACATGTTGGAAGCTTGGTCCTCAGAGTGACAAAGTTAAGAGATGGTGGAACCTTTAAGAGATGGGGTCTTTGGGGCCGGCGCCGTGGCTCACTTGGTTAATCCTCTGCCTGTGGCACCAGCATCCCATATGGGCACCGGGTTCTAGTCCCAGTTGCTCCTCTTCCAGTCCAGCTCTCTGCTGTGGCCCGGGAAGGCCGTGGAGGATGGTCCAGGTGCTTGGGCACCTGTACCTGCATGGGAGACCAGGAAGAAGCACCGGGCTCCTGTCTTCGGATTGGCGAAGTGCTGGCTGTAGTGGCCATTTGGGGAGTGAACCAATGGAAGGAAGACCTTTCTCTCTGTCTCTCTCTCTCACTGTCTAACTCTACCTGTCCCGAGAAAACACAATAAAATAACAAAAAAAAAGAAAAGAAAAAAAAAAGAAAAGAGAGATGAGGTCTAGTGGGAAGTCACTGGGTTACACCTTTTTTTTTTTTTTTTGCTGGAAAACAAAGGGTTTTAATTTGAAGAAAGGAATTACTAACTGGATGGGTGGGATGGGTGGGAGACATACAGATGTGTTTGGTAATTCTTTCTTTCTTTTTTTTTAACTTTTATTTAATGAATATAAATTTCCAAAGTACGACTTATGGATTACAATGGCTTCCCCCCCATACCGTCCCTCCCACCCACAACCCTCCCCTTTCCCACTCCCTCTCCCCTTCCATTCACATCAAGATTCATTTTCGATTACCTTAATATACAGAAGATCAGCTTAGTATACATTAAGTAAGGATTTCAACAGTTTGCTCCCACACAGAAACATAAAGTGAAAAATAATGGATGATTTTTTTAAATGATGATGAAATCAGATCAGACCTATTGTCATGTTTAATCCCAGTGAGAGTCAAGTTGGGAATTGATAATTTCTTTTTTTTTTTTTTTACAGAAGATCAGTTTAGTATGCATTAAGTAAAGATTTCAACAGTTTGCACCCCCATAGAAACACAAAGTGAAATATATTGTTTGAGTACTCGTTATAGCATTAAATCTCAATGTACAGCACATTAAGGACAGAGATCCTACATGAGGAGTAAGTGCACAGTGACTCCTGTTGTTGACTTTACCAATTGACACTCCTGTCTATGGCATCAGTAATCTCCCTATGCTCCAGTCATGAGTTTCCAAGGCTATGGAAGGCCTCTGAGTTCTCCGACTCTTATCTTGTTTAGACAAGATCATAGTCAAAGTGGAGGTTCTCTCCTCCCTTCAGAGGAAGGTACCTCCTTCTTTGAAGACCTGTTCTTTCCACTGGGATCTCACTCACAGAGATCTTTTTGCCAGAGTGTCTTGGCTTTCCATGCCTGAAATACTCTCATGGGCTTTTCAGCCAGATCCGAATGGCTTTAGGGCTGATTCTGAGGCCAGAGTGCTATTTAGGACATCTGCCATTCTATGAGTCTGCTGAGTATCTCGCTTCCCATGCTGGATCACTCTCCCCTTAATTTATTCTATCGGTTAGTGTTAGCAGGTACTAGACTTGTTTATGTGCTCCCTTTGACTCTTAGTCCTTTCATTATGATCAATTGTGAACTGAAATTGATCACTTGGAATAGTGAGATGGCATTGGTACATGCCACCTT